GGAATCAATGTGACTGGATATAATGAGAAACTATTTTCCATTTTCAAGTTTCAAATATGATTTTTATGTTAGTTGTACCAATTTGCTGAAATTTCTGTTTATGTTTCAGAACATGGTCCTAAATCATTTGATAATTTGTCTCCCTCTGCCTCTTTCTGAAAAGTTCTCTGCTATCATTTCATTCAAACTATCAAGGGCCTTTCTGTTTCTTTTTCAAATATTTGTGTCTAGGTCCAGGAAATGTATAGATAGTCTCACTAGCCTGAACTATTAAAAAAGAGACTAGCCTAAATCTGCAAAATGTCTAAATTAAAGCAATTTTGAATAAATATCATCTTATGGACTTCAAGTTCCTATGAGAATGGGCAGTCTCAAGAAATTGCTATCAAATAGAGATCTTGTTTTCTTTTTTTAAAAAAGCAATTTTAATTAACATAATTTTATGCAAATCAATTCCATCAATATGCTCTAAAGCAGTGAATTCAATTAAATAAGCTATAAACATGCCCACATCAATTGGTTTTGCCTTCTTAATTTACAACAGCAAAATTCTTCATAAACAATGCCAGTTCCTTTCTGACCAAATTATTATAAATTCTGATTAATGAGATTTCGTTCCATTTCTCTCAAGCCTCTTTATTTTCCTTTAAGAGTATTTTTAAAGGAGACAATCAGAGGAAATGTTTGAGAGTAGGAAAATGAAAGTATATCTTGGTTCTTGAAAGCCTTTTGGCAATTTCCCGATACCTGCTATAGTTCTGACAAGGTAATTGCCCTTCTCTTGACAGTGACAGAAATTACAGCACAGCCAAATTGCAACTAGCAGAGATATTTCTGCAAGTGTAGATTTGGCTTTGTAGATTCAACAAAGCCAAGCAAGCATAACAACTCAACAAGATATCCCAATAATTTTATGTAAGTATAATACTTGCCAGTAAGGTAATACCTGGGATGACTGAACAAAGTTGAAACTTACAGAATTTCAGAATATATGGATCTTCTACTGTCTTCTCCTTACCCATACAAGGAGCATAAAATGAGATATATGAGGTCTAGAGATTTTTTAGTAACCTGCCAATGGTTTTGTAGTCTAGTTTTGAGGAGTCAAAACTAGAGATCAGTTCTCCTGAGTCCCACTGAAGAGCTCTTGGCACTACCCCATGCCATTCATAGCTAAAACCAGAGACCATCCACTTTAAGGGTCACCAGGCTCTTTCAGTTGCCTCCTGCTTTTGTAGTGCCTGCAGGTCACAAATAGTTTTTACAATTTTAAGTGGTTGAAAAAATAAAAATAATAATATTTTGCAACATGTGAAATTATATGGAATTCAAATCACAGTACTGATAAATAAAGTTTTATTGGTACATAGCCACAGCCATTCTTTTGTGTACTGTCTATGACTACTTTCACTTCATAATAGCAGAGTTGAATAGTTAAAAAACAGGGACCATCTGGCCCACAAAGTCCAGACTATTTTCTCTCTGACCCTCCACAAAATGTTTGCTGTTGCAGATAAGTACCTTCCATCATTGCAACTTGGGAAGAAGAGTCCTCTAGATTTATTAGCAGTTGTCCAGATTTCCAAATCCAGTGCACATCAATGTACATCAAAGCTTAGTCTCTTACTTCACTTAGACAAAAAAAAAATCCTGTTGCATCCAAACACACTAAGGATATAAATTAACTTTCATTAACATCAGACCCTATGTATATCCTTTACAGCCACTGATATCAACTTTAGGAAGACCAAGGACATTGTCAATGTCTACCCCTAACTTCCCACATCCAGATCCCAGATCAAGCAAAGTGGCTCAGATGTGGGTTGATATCCATGGCACAACTGGAACAGCCAGGTGAGCCTGCTTCTAGATCAAGTCTAAGAAACAATCTACAAACAGGATATTCAGGACAAAAAGTGACTACAGTCACAGTTTGGAAAACAGTCTTCACATGTGCCACACAGGAAGAATTGGTGGTGGCGAAATAAGCTTGTTAATAACATCCACACTCTTCACTATTAGTCAGTGTCAGTTTGAAGGCCAACAGTCTGTATGCTCTGACTAAAAAATATGAGCCAGTCAGTAATCAATAAAAATCCAGCAGAAGTATACAGTACATAAGCATAATATTGGTGCTTTCTCCTGCATCTGATTTTTACTGATTTGATTGATGGCAGCAAGCCCAGTGTTTGGCACAGGAAAATACCATTGAGAGAGCTGGGAAGAAGATACATCCAGCTTTTTATTCAGTTGTTTTATTCATGAAGCAGGTTTTAAGTATCCCATTGGATAAATAAACCTTCAGGATGAGAACAAGTGTCAATATATGCACAGCATAGCAATTTGGAGATCTAGTGTCACTAGCCAATTTGTGGTTGTTGTTGACCTTCAGAGACTAAAAAAGAAGCTAAAGTCAGGGAGAAAGAGAAAAATTACTAGGAATTTATTTGTACCTTTGGTTAGGACTATAGCTCTGCTTTCCGGGGATTAAAAGAATTTCCATATTTATATAACAAAGACAAAATGTTGAATATAATTTCTGGACCCACTCAGCACTCAGACCACCAACTGCAACTTGACATGACTCAGGCACCTCCACCCGATTAGGATATGGCCTGAATGTTTGCAGAAAGCAAGCTCATGAAGTTTTTGTGACTGCTTTATTTCCCTTAAGTTCTTCCTACATTTTTAGTTCTTCAATGTGAAGAACAGGAAAAGGAAAGCAGCACGCAATTAATTCAAATGAACCATAATTTTCAGTATTCCTTAATGAGCACCCCATCCAGACAGCCCAGTCTGAGAGGTATGGCTTCCTGAAGTAGAAAGTGTCCAGCCATCCTGCAACTCTCATATCTGTTTATTAAATTTGGGCTGTGAGCACCAAACATAAATTCGATGAAAATGGGTGTTGAGAGTGGGGACTGTTGTTTTCTACAAACGAAGATAAGCTCCTACATGCAAAACCACTCATAACTCAGCTGTGAGACATATGTGGTCATAGAAATTGGTATATCTGAATATTAGTTTACTATACATTTGACCACTGGAGATCCAAAAGAAGGCTAGATCTGGAGACCTAATATGAATACCTGTATTTCCTCCCTTCTTCCTCTCCTTAAGCCAAGGCTAATGGTACAGACTGAAAGAGGGTCCTTTCTCGGTATGGTTTTGGACATACCCACTTCTTACTAGTTTATTGGCTGTTTGAGTGCTTACAACACATTCTAAATTATCCTGAAGACTTTTAGTGATGCAGTTGTTATAGATAAACCCCTGGATGGCAGATTTGGGGAAGATGAATATGAAGGAAGACATCACAGAGACTCACTGTGAACTTCTACTCATTACTTCTGGGGGACTGGGCCAGGACACAGTTGTCACCTGACTCTCTGGGAAGGAAAGGCTTATGAAGAAATTTACCAAGTTGGCAATGTTTGGGCACCCTCCAACCTTGCTGGAGGTCTTCTTCAGGTATGGGTGTTTCCAAAGTGGAGCTCACTTGTTGCCCTGGCATCATGTGACTTCTCAACCTTCTTCCTTGTGACATCCCCTACTCTGTGCCCAGTCCTGTCTTCATTCTCCATCAAAAGGTAGCATGCAACTCAACAAGCACCTACCATGTGTCTAGGCTCTGTGGTTGCCAAGATGAACATCTCACACACAGTATCAGCACCTGAGGGCTCTTTCTGTGGTAGAGAAAATGGCCCCATGAATGTTTTCAGTTCAACTTAATAAGTGCTATAATCATTATGTGATGAAGCTTATGAGATCTCGGAAGAAAATGACCAAGTTTGGCTGGGGAAACTGAGAACAGCATCTGAGAAAAGACATCATATTAGATGGACTCAAAGAATGAGTGGGACCCACAAGAAGACCATTGTATGTGGAGGAAAGACCACTCCCAACATGAGGGAAGCCTAAAACAGAACCTCGCCCAGCCTCTCTGGAAACTTCAAGGAGAGGTAGCCAGAAGCCACTTTGCTGTTTAGTGGATTAGCTGAGGCCAGAACCCAAGGCTGTCATACCCAGGCCAATGGTCTTTCATTACCTATCCTTGGGGTCATTCCCTTTGGGATGCAGTTTCCCTTAGGTAAAAACAAATCTGATAAGTGACTATGTGCCCATGTCTTATCCTTAAATTATAGTATTTCTTTTTTCTCTACATCTTTGATAATAAAGTTTTAAATGACAATTTAAATTTTTTAACTCCACACCCCCAAAATTAATTATGCTAGAATATTTGTTCACTATGGTTTCTGACAATTCGGGGGTAAATGAATTCAGATTAAGAAGAAAGGCCTCTAGCCATCTGTTGTATGACAATGTGACCTCTCAGGAAGGACAAAGATGATCCATGTAATGTCCTCTTTCATATTAAATGCAAAATAACTCTTTGAACTCACTAGTCAATACCTTCTCAAGTGTAGCCTTTCACCGTTTTAACACAGTAAGCAAGCTAATTTACCAGTTTAAATAAAATTCTGGTATCACACTCTGTAATAGTAAAATATGTTGATCCTTAGGTTTATAATAGTTCCGAATATGCTAACAATATTCCTTTAACTTAAGAAAATCTCAAAGTTCTCTTCATGTTTCTAATAAAATTAACCACTATACTGACTTCTAACACCATAGGTTAGGTTTGTCTGTTTATAAACTTTGTATAAATGAATTCAGCCTGTATGAGTGTATAAGTATCTGACTTTTTGCACTCAACAACATATTTGTGAGATTTTTTTTTCATTTTGTTGTGTAGGGCAATAGATTGTTCCTTCTCATTACTGCGTTTAATGCCACTATGTAAATACCTCCACAAGGTGTTTAATTTATTCATTCTACAGTATGTGGATATGTGGATTGTTTCTTGATTGCAGCTGTAGCAAATATACCTGCTATACACAATTTCACACATGTCTTTTGGTGATGAGTATGCACTGGATTTTGAATTTTCAATCTTGTTGAGAAAAGAAGACTCACTCATCCTATCATTTTATGTGCAGGAACCTTGGATAAGCATGAAGAGTTGGAGAACCTTGTGGCTAAGTTCCTGAATGTAGAAGCAGCTATGGTCTTTGGGATGGGATTTGCAACTAACTCAATGAATATCCCTGCTCTAGTTGGAAAGGTGAGAATTTGTTAACATAATTGTCTTCTGCTATGTTATTCCTAAGAATTATAACTCTGAGCAGGTCCTTCATTAGAAGTATGGCTGAGAAGATCCTTTTTCTAGGAAAAGCTGATTGAATACCTAGCTTTCTAAATAAATATACCACCTTAGTCCAGCAAATCTGTTCATAGTGATATTGTTTATAGAATTACAGTCCTAGATGTGGGTCACATTTCATCTTTGATGATAGTTTAGCAAGAGCAATTAAATTTTTTTTAAAGATTTTATTTATTTAGTCATGAGAGACACAGAGAGAAAGAGGCAGAGACACAGACAGAGGGAGAAGCAGACTCCATGCAGGAAGTTCGATGTAGGACTCAGTCCCGGGACTCCAGGATCATGCCCCGGGCCAAAGGCAGGCACTAAACTGCTGAGCCACCCAGGGATCCCAAGAGCAATTAAGTTTTAAGGCTCCCAAGTCCTCATTTACAATGTAGCAAACAATTATTGGGCATTTATTTGAATAAAATATTTTGTTCATGCCACTCATTCATTTATTCATTCAATAGATCACTTATTGAGAAACTACTTTGTCCTCATATAAGGCAAGATACAGGGCATACAAAGATGAACAAGACCTGTGCCTTGTAAATTTATGTTGTTTACAGTCTAGCGGGGGGAAACAATGCACCAAATAAAATAGGATGAATACCCCAGAAAAGACAAGTGTATACGTGGAGAAGTGCAAAAGAGTTGCTTCCAAGCTCTTCATGAGAAAGGCTGAGATGCCTATGCAAAGTGGATGACATGAGAACTGAATCTTACTTGTCTGTAAAGTTTTTTCTTTAAGATAAGGAAAAGGGAGCAGCATGCATAAAGCACTGAGCTTTGGAAGAACTAAAATAAAAGATAGTAGATGAAGAAGAGAACAGAGATGAACAGAGATGAAGGCAAGTGCCAAATTGCAAAGAGCCTTGTAGTCATGCTTGAGTATTGGAAATTCTTTCTGAGGAAAATGGGGAAGTTGGTTGGCTCAGTTTAAGTAAGCAAGTGCCATAATCATATTTAGGTTTAAAAAAATCTAACTCAGGACAACTAAATGCAATATATGCTCTTTGATTGGATTCTGCACTGAAAAAAATAGAATGAGAGATAACATCTATAAAAGTCATTGATATAATTAGGACAGTTGGAGAAAGATGAATTTGGACTATGTCTTAATGCACTACATAAATGATTTCCTGGGCATGATCAGTGCATTGTGATTTAACCAAAAAATGTCCTTAATCTTAGTAATTATATGATGAAGAATTTAGGGGTGAAATATCATGAAGTTTACCAGTAACTCTCAAATGCCCACCAAAAAATTATAAATACATAAACACACATCTAGAGGATGGAGGTATAAGAATATCACTGGCTCTTCCCCTCCAAATTTAAAACATGTAATATATGGAGTTTCCAAAATATGAGCAAGAACTCAAAGATTCTGGGTGACCACAAATGGCCACCATAGTTTGTCTATGCATTTTTGGTACACTTGAGCAGTTTTATAATTTAGAAAATTTGAAATTAAAAGATTCAAAACCATAATTTATAAGCAGTAAATTTGATTGATCTTTTTCACTGGCCTCAGACTGAATTGCCATCCATACTTTTCCAAATGCAAAGTTTTTAGCTGGAAAGCACTGATGCTTTTGTGTACAAGGATGTCAATACAGAGGAAAATGAGAATAGAAGAACAAGAGCTTGAAAGGCCTTACAGAAAAGAGGAAGTATACCAAAACCTTCTAGAGGAAGTATACCAAAACCTTCCCAAATAATCCAGCACAGGATCGAAGAACTCCAGCAAGTCCAAAATCCACCAAAAGTATATCCACTTTCCTGTCAAACATCAATTCTTTAGAAAATGTGAGCGGCCTTTAACCAAGATCTTGAATAATGTTCTCCGATGAATATCAAATGCAAATGGTTAAAGATGTAATCCCTTAAAAAAAATCCCCATCTTCATCAGCTAATTGTCTACAGGATTTTATCCATATAGACACCAGGTGGAACTCAGCCTTTTAAAATTAAAGAGGGTTTGGGGAATGTGTGTTACAGGTCTGGAAGTGTCTTTCTCTTCCCACAGTTGTTTTTCTTTAATTTTATTTATTGGCCTGTGTTTTGTGTGTTTATTCTCTGAACAGGGATGCCTCATTTTAAGTGATGAGTTAAACCATGCATCTCTTGTACTTGGGGCCCGACTTTCAGGTGCAACTATAAGGATCTTCAAACACAACAGTGAGTATCAGTGAATTTATCCCAACATGTACTGCTTGCTTCTAGAAAGAAGTAAAAATAATTAATGGGGCTTTGTCCTTACCCTTCAAACTGGGAACTTAACCTAATGAAACACAATTATGTTTATATTCACTACCGGCTTGTTAACCTCTGCTGACCCAAAACAAATGGCTGAAGTGCTTTAAACACCCAGATTGCTAAGTGTAACCCAAACACATTAATGTCACTATTATTAGTGGTCTTACCATGCCACCTCAGAAGACATGACTGATCTCTTAGGACACTGATGTTTAATTATCAGAGGTGTTATAACTTCCTTTTCTATAATTCTGCCTTAGAAAAGGTCTAAGACTTAAGTTTTATGTTATAGTCAGGTAAAAAGTCATATTCTTCCTTACAATGTCTCCTTTCACTATCCCACCCCCCAGCACCGGCTTACAATCTAGTAGGAGAAGCAGATACATATCAATCAAAGTAACTGTATCTTAGGTTAAGTAGAAAAAGGGCCACAGCAATATTGGGCAATGGTTAAGAGTACATGCTTTGGCCAGAGGATATTTTCATGCCCACCAAGATAGCTAAAATCAAAAAGATGACAACACTAAATATTAGCAAAGATATGAAGCAACTAGAACTCTTGCCCACTGCTGGAGGGTACAGTGATACAACTTCTTCAGAAAACTGCTTGGCAGTCTTATAAAGCTAAACATATCCCTATACTGTGACCCATAAATTCCTAATCTTGGAATTTCCAGTATATGTCCATAAAAAGGCTTGTACAAGAATGTCCATAGCAGCTTTAGTCATTATAGCCAAGACTGGAAACATCCCAAATAACTATCAACAAGAGAATGGAAAAGATCTGTGCTGTAGTCATGTGATAGAATATGACACTCTGATAAAAAAGGAATAAACTACTGATACACACACCATGGATGACTCTCAAGAAAAATTACTTCTAAAGAAATAAATCAGGTACAAATAGTATATACAATATGAATTTGTTTATAGTAAATTAAAAACACTACTAGACAAAACAAATCTATGGTAATAGAAATCATAACGATGCTTGCCCCTTGATTGTGGGGGAGGGAATCAGTGAGAAGAGGCAAAAAGGAACTTCCTAGGGTGTGATAGAAATGTTTGATATTTTGATTGGGATGATGTTTACATTCTTATTAGAATTCATTGAATTTTACATTTAAAATCTGTCAATTTCCTTGTAAATAAATTTTCCTAAAATATAATTGTTTGCATACAATATCTTTGGTGTTAAAAAGAAAAGTATGGGCTTTGACCCAAGCATTTGTGTCCTCGTTCTATAGCTTATTAGCATGTGGTCCTTGGGAAATTACTTAACCTTCTCGAATTTCAATTTACCTATTCAAAAATGAGGATAATTACGATGCCTGATTCATGATATGTTGGAGAAGGCATGTAAAGTTCTTGCTTAGCACAGTGCCTGGCAATAGAAACTTCTGAGTTGCTTGTATCTGCTGTGTTCTTATGATTATTATTATCCTCATCATTTTCACTGCCAGTGCTACTAAAGGACAGTAGAAAACATAATGACCCAGAATAATGCAGAGGTCATTTCATTTTGGGGATTGCAGTGAAATGGGTAGTATTTGCCATAGACTTTGAAGGATTAAGAGAATTCTGATTGGAGATAAGGGGAAAGGTATTTCAAACAGAATAATATGGTATAAAGCAAGACCTCTAGCGTAAGCTGAACTACTTGAAGAAGAGCCTGAAAAATAAGGTCTTGGCCAGTCAATGTAGAGCCCCTAGGATATATATACAAGCTATGATATATGTACTTCAAGAAGCAACAGAACGCATTTGGACAGTTCTGCTTCATTCCATGCTATACTCCAGATAAATTGGATTTGCTCAAAACATTTAGTGGCCCTCCCCTATGTCTAGTGGCAGTGAAAACAGAGATATAGGCTTTAAGTTAAAGCTTTGAATAACATCACATGGAAAAGACCATCTGCTTATTGGTTGTAAAGATCAGCTGTCCCCCAAAACAGTTCTCGTACACCTCCTCTATCCTGCATTTGTTATTATATGGAATTTAGCCCAAATTCTACCATTATCTACTTTTCCCTTGAAGGCTTTATAGAGGCGATGATGATGATGATAGATAGATAGATGATAGATAGATAGATAGATAGATAGATAGATAGATAGATGATAGATAGATATGCATACATACCCAACCGGAATTTTTCTTAATCACTAACCAAGAATTTCCTACTCTCCAACTTAAGACTTTTGTGGTAGTGATTCTCCAGTGATTTCCCCCGCCTCCTGGTATTTATGCCCTTGGGTAGCCCCTTCCTGCATAGTCTCAGGGTTGGCTGATGTCATGAAAAGATTACATTAGAGGTGATGGTATGTCATTCATAAGGTTAGGTTTTTAGGGGCATTGTGGCTTCTCTCAGCTCTTCAGTAGTGGAAGCACTTATACAGCCTATGCAGAAGAACTAGGGCCTCTTGCCAACAACCAGGTGAATGGGATATCTTTGCTGACCCTCTGGCCTCACTCAAGTCTTCAGATGACTGTAGCTCCAACATCATGACTGCATCTCACAACTTTCTTGAGGCAGAACACCCACCTAAGGTTCCTAATCCTAATTAGGATCTGTGGATAATAAGTGTTTGTTGTTTCGAGATAATTTATGACATAGCCATAGATAACTAACGGAGCTTCTCTAGCCACCATTACTATGCAGAAACTGGACACCCAAGTGTGATTTCCCACTTCCTCTTCCTATGAATCTAAAATGAATGACTCAGCAGTCCTTTTACCCAACTGCTTTACACACCTAATCACTGGCAAAGAAGCCAAAATGGGACACGGTGGAGGACAAACCATTCTTGGTCTGCATGGAGACAAGAAACTTGAGAGCCTATAGCACATAGGTCAGGAAGTGAAGTAGGGTTTGGCTAATATTTTTTGAGATAGTTTCCCATGGCTCATATGGCAAAGGAATATCAGGCCCTGACCCACCATGCTAACAACCCCTCTTTTGAGGGGAGTAAGGTAGGGGATGGCTTGAATTGATTCTTTTCCTGTTGGCTGAGGCTAAATTATAAAGAGAAGGGATAATCGTCACCTGTATCCCAGTCCCACAGTTACCAAAAAATACCGCTCCTATTCATGGATATACAGAGTAGATGCCAACAACATGAACACATCAGTGAAGATTATTTCTACAGTTTTGTTCAAACACAGTTATATACACATGATTTATCAGAAACTATACAATGGGAAAACTTCTAAGCAGACCCCTACAAAACAACTTTATTTTAAATATTCAAATAAACTGATGCAGTTCAGCCACAGATTGAATCTTTCCATTAGTTCCAATTGCTCAATTGTTCCTAGGACATAGAGTAGTTCAACCGGCTTCTCCTGGTCTAGCCCATGGCACCCTACACAGCTATAGCATATCTTCTACTTCAGATTCCCCTCTCAGGTTAACAATTCCAGTGAAAATACATCCAAAGGAAAGAATAGTAATTACATGAGAAAGAAATCTGACAACATCTAGACAGTGGGTAACAATGATGCCAGTTTCATTGATGCGGGACAGATGGAAGTGTGTGTCTCCAAATGTGATGCCCTAAGAAGGACTCAACATGACTTATGTTGTGTTCAGATCAGAACACTGAATTTTATCAATAAACAACCCTGAAGTAGAAATATGCTTTTGAAAAGAAAACAGGAAAAAAAAAGGAATGTATTCTCCAAATATGCTAATATTGTAAAAGACAAAGAAAGGCTGAGAAGATGATCCAGATTAAAGGATACCAAAGTGCTGTGATAACTAAGTCCAGTACCTGACCCTAGACTGGATTCTGAAAGAGACAAGGAGATGCTATAAAGGACATTCCTGCCAGTTCACAAAATTGGAATATGCTAGTAGTTAGACACTACGAGGTAAGATTATGGTATCAACGTTAAATATACTGAAGTGAATAGCTTCTCTGTCATCCAGGGTAAACAAACTGTGGCCTGTGAGCTAAGAATAGTTTTCACATTTTTTTAAAGATTTTATTTATTTATTCATGAGAGACACAGAAAGAGAGGCAGAAACACAGGCAGAGGGAGGAGAAGCAGGCTCCATGCAAGGAGCTGATGCAGGACCCGATCCCAGGAATCTGGGATCACGCCCTGAGCCAAAGGCAGATGCTCAACTGCTGAGCCACCCAGGTGTCCCTAGTTTTTACATTTTTAAAGGATTGTATAAAGAACAATGAAGAATGTGTGACAGAGACTATATGCGATCCACAAAACCTAAAATATTACTATCTGGTCCTGTAGAAAAAAAGTTTGCTGACCCTTGCTGTAGTCTCATAAGAGGATATATCCTTAGTTAGGGAAGATATACTACAGTGTTCAGAGATGCCATGATATATGCAAATTAGTCTCCGTTCAGTAAAAAATTGTATGTGTGTGCATGCACATATATACATACACACATGCATAGAGATAGATGATACAGTGATAAAGTAAATGGAATAAACTGTTAATAGATGAATCTGGGTAAAAGAGTACGTGGGTGTTCTTTTTTTAAAGATTTTATTTATTTATTCATGAAAGACACACAGAGAGAAGCAGAGACATAGGCAGAGGGAAAGCAGGCTCCTTGCAGGGAATCTAATGCAGGACTCAACCCCAGGACCTTAGGATCATGACCTGAGACAAAAGCAAATGCTCAACCACTGAGCCACCCAGGTGCCCCCATGGGTATCCTTTGTAGTACTCTTATTCTTGCAATTTTTTGTTAAGTTTAATATTCAAATAAAATTTTAATTCCTTAATCTTCTGCTGAAATTATAATTCAAGAAATCAATTTTATCTACCAATTTTACAAAGCTTTCAACACATTCAGTAACTTATTCCTCATGTCCTCCCTTTGTACTCACAGAACACAAATAATAGTTCTCACTTACATCTCTATAATAATTGTTAGTTGCAGTTATTTTAT